AATTTAAAGAAAAGCTCTTCTCTGGGGTCGTCTTCAAACTATTGCCAAGTCCACAATAAAAAAACAAACATAGTTCTCTAATATACTTTTAATAAGAATTAAATATTTCTCAATAAGCATGTTTCCTGAAGGTATCTCAAAATAAATCTTCAATGAATTCTATTGAGAATTTATCGAGTGGACATCAAATTTTTTCCATACATTTTAAAATCTACCTTTGGGTGTGGGTGTGAGTCTTCTCTTCATTAAAACTAACACCCACACCCACCCATGGAGTTCCCAACTTCAGAAAACGATATTTTTTTCTAAAAGAAAAAGATGTCATCCGATAGAGGCGAATCTAGTGAACAAGTTTTCATGAGCAAATTTTTTCGGGAGGTTTTATAAGAATAGTGAACTCGGCAAGAATTAATTTTTTCCCTGACATTAAAAATAGCTGGAAAAAACGATTTTTTCAAATTTTGAAAGTTCCATTACTTCACGAAAACTAATCCAACCCACGAGTTATTGCAATCTCAGACCCTTAGGGGTTCTGTCTACAAACTCACGAAATATGAGGATATGTTGAGGGGGATACCCCCTCCCTTACTTTGAACCAGATATTGATCGAGGATTCATAACTTATTTTTGTAGAAATTGCACACGAACTTCCTTGTTATTGATCTTTTTGTAAATATTAACATAACAGACTAGCTTTTGTTTTTGTTAAATGATCATATTTCCTTCTTCAAATAAACTACTCGTGACATTGTTTTCATTATGTCAACAATAAATGGAGATTAAATCTATCGAACTTCGAAGTCCGTTATTTGATCTGTTAACACACTAATACTAGAGAGGAAGTGGCAAACTTATATAAGTTAGCATAATCAATACTAGTAGACAGTTTAACAATATAAAGCCTGAGCATGATGTTTTTTTTTGGTATTATCGCCCTTGTTTTTATCTCGCTAACAGCTATTTCTGCAGGTCTGTTTAATACCATATGTGTATACTGCTGGTATTTTCATATTTATGTAATTCAGATATAACTGAAAACTACGTTCAATGCGATATCACAGGTGATCCACGAATTACGCCATTTCAACTAGTCCAAAATGTAAACCGAATAACATATACATGTGCTCTACGCAATGTGCCAGTAACATTTTTTCGCAATCAATATATTAAGATCGAAGTGGTCAATGGAGGAACCGCTGTGGGAGATATTATTTCGGTATTGAAACTATTTTTCATTACAATTAACACATGCATAAGCAAAAATAACAATTTTTTGTATATACATAGTTCATCGTCTCCTTTTTGGAAGAACCGACTTCTATTAACGATGTTTGCACATTCAATGAACATTCCTTCAAGTCAAGGGTGCGGGAATTTAGATGTGGTTTAGCAAGTATGAAAGAAAAGTACACAATTATTATGATTAAGACCTAATCATTATGTTCTTTCAGCTATTTCAATTAATTCATCGATAGATATTCTATACCTTGATGCTGATTTGTCTGTGAAAATATACAATGGGGTAAAGAAAATTTATTTATTATTGAAAAATTCTAGAAAAAGACTGAATGGATCGTTCTTTTTTACAGCATATTCTTATCTGTAACAGATTACATGTTATCATGTACTCATCCTGGTTCTTCAAAAATAATAGTGAGCTCTGATGACTAGTTGATAATAAAAATATTATTCTTTTTTATCACATTTTATTGAGAAAACATACGAGAAAAACTTTAAAACAAAAGCAATTGAACCAGTACAATAACACCTTTATATTTCTATTAGGTTGGAAACTTTAATATCTATGTATGGACATCATGGGAAAATGCATACTTATCAAGAGGTGTGTGTCGTGATGGTTGTACTGCTCAATATATGTCAAATGTTCGATCGTCACTACCACAACTCATTTCTCAAGATCAAACGACGAGTTCACTTGCTAAACAGATTTGTGATATTTATCTGAAAGAATATACAAAACCAAATGCTCAAGTACCGGCTAGTTTGAATCAATTTATCAAAGGAACTTACCAAGGATGCATCACTGATATTACCACTATGGGCGATAAGAAGGTAAATGTATGCCGAAAATAATTTTCAAATGAGATGCTATTAATTAGATGAAATTAATATATTTTTTTTATTAAGACTTCAACTATTTTGTGCTTACTTATACAAAAACATAATTCTTATCTTAGCAAAAATTTGTTTGATGTTTCAGAGCTAGATCTCTGACATGTCGGATAGGAATTCTGCAACAAATTCGTCGTTTTCTTCTTGAGAGAATGACGAAAAGCTAAAGAAAGAGTCTAAACAATGAATTTCAAGGACTTGACAGGATTCAAAATAGGATTTTATACTGATCCTACAAAATTTTATTAATGCATTTTAGCTCAGGATGTCAATGATTCCTGCTTGAAAAAAAACTTCTGTCTACATTTTGTAGGTTTATGCTAGGTTTTCTTAAGGATGTTATCAGATCTCTTGAAAGTATCTTTGCAGAATTTTCTAGATGATGATTGCTATTGTCTTGTACGGATCCTGTTCAAAGCTTAGCAGGATTTATCAGGTTAGGATTTTCATTCAATTTTTTATCATCTTGGTAAGATCCTTCTCTACTATAAGTAAAATTCTTGAAAGGACCTTCATATCAGTATTTAGAGTAGAATTCTCAATTCAGAAAATAAACTTAACAGAAACTTGAAGAAATTTTAAAAAAATATCGTATTTAACCGTGAAAAATCCTGCAAACAGAAATTACTAGGATTGAAGACACGACTAGGCTATCAGTAAAAATACTCATTCTATTAACAAAAGTTTTCGAAGTCTTTTGAAGTAACTTTCATATTCTGAAAATAAATTTAGAAATATTGTATCTTCAAAGTATTACTAGTATAACATTTCTAACTCATTGCTTCAATATTTATAAAATAAAATATTCTCATATGAACTGTTTCCAATTTATAGTATGCAAAACAAGCTCTAATGAGTATTGTCTCATCAATTATGACCTTCGAGGCAACATCACTGGAGCAAATCCACAAAAGAAATCAACAAGTATCAATCATAGTCGATCAATTAAGCAAAATAGCAGACCCAATTGCAACTCAACTCATCGCTGATCATAAAGCAAAGAATATGATCACCAACTAAAGATTTTGCCTACTGACTCTTAAAAATTAAATAATTTTATTTTAAAAAAATAAATCTTTTTCATTTATTCAGAGCAAACATTGAAATCACTAGTTATGTAATTCTAATCGAAATGGATAATACATAGTAGTCAAATTGGTTAATCGTTGAAGTTATAAATGCTGTAACCTCTCGTTTTAAGATGAAAAATAGAGATTAAAGTCAAATGCTTAATCCTAAATAGTTAACTCATTTCAGCTTGATTGAACCGATTCTAACTCATTTGAAATTATTCAGGTTTTCTAAAGAAGTGTATCGCTTATTTATTTTGAGTCATATCAACACACTTCGTTTTCTACAAAATAAACGAAAGTTTTCCTTTTTCTCATAAATAACTTAAGTAAAGATGAAGTGCATCAACTTCAATTCAGTCCATTCCACGCAAATCTAATCAATCACAAATAACGATGTTAAATAAATCTAATAACTCGGTAGAATAGAAATTGTAAATGAAAACATGTATCTATTTTTAAAATTATTATCATTTTGATTTATTCAGTTATTTGGTATTTTTTAATATGAATTAGTTTAACCTTGACCAATATACCATAAACTCGTGACAGTCAGGGTTTGTGAGTTCCGCATTTGAATGCCTCATTAACAAGCTTTTCGTTGTGAATTAATTGAGAACTAGATAAATTTTATAAGCAAAATAAATGATCTATTACTTGTCGAGTTGCATCTTCATATAACAGATGACGGTAGCTAATCTCATCAGAGGTTAATGAATACGTTTATTTTCATGTTTGTATTTAACCAAACAGATGTTTTATATCTGTATGCAAATCAAGCAATTTTTGTTGTTGCCAATACTCAAGAAAAACAGGCGTTCAAGTTTTTTGTTCCAAACAATGGCGGCGTGTATAAACAAAAGAGTCTAGAATTGACTGAAAATCATAATATTCATACCTTGATAAGCTTCAAAAAAATAATAAAACAGAGAAAAACTTTGTTTATTCATTCGATCTTTTTGTGTAATAGTTTTCAAATAAGTTGTAGAACAGGCGAACACTAGAGCAAAAATCAATTAGAAATGAAGGGTACTGATCATGTCAGAAGAGACGTCTTCTTCACATGTATGCTTCCACTTCTCTTTCCTTGCTCTCAGTTCTATAACGAATATAATCATTTTTTTTCTTTCTTTCATTTCTAGTGTATTCAATTGACTGCTATGGTTGAGAGAGGGGAACCTTAAGCTGTAAAATAAAAAAGAGAGATAGCATTAATAACTGATGAGAACAACATTTCATATTTGCCACCAAGCGCATGCAAGTTACGACGTACATCAACAAGATAAAAACATAGCTCTTGTAAAGTATTAGAAATTTTCTTATTAAAAGCTGTGTAATGGACCTTGAATGTTCGAAAGTATTACCGCATCATTAACGACTAAAAGTGATTCAAAACTTGAAAAAAATTGTCACTGATGATTATTACCTAATATGACTAGTGGAAGAAGAAAGTCCGTTCCACTCGAATTTCATCAACAACCATACTTAATTGAAAATTTTATTCTCGTTTGGTTGGATTCAAACATCGATGAAATCAATGATAACACTCGAAATTCTATCATACTCCTTCAAGATATCGTTGATTCGGTCAAAATATTTACTGATATTGACCAATGATGTATCGATTTCATTAGTGATATTGTTGATGAAAAAATCTTCTTAATCATCCCTAATGAATTTAGTCAATGGCTCGTACCTCTTATCGAAGCATTCATTCAACTGAAAGCCATTTATATATATTACAGTTATAAACTGCCTTATAATCAATGGGCCATACATTACAAAAAAGTGAAAGGAATGTCCAACCAAATCGAAGATCTTTGCTATCGACTGAAACAAGATCTTCGTCAATTCAACAGTAATCTAACACCAATTAGTATTATTAAACCATCTTCTAGCACTAATCGTGATGAATTAGATCAATCATTTATGTATTCACAATTATTAAAAGAGATTATTCTAGACATACCATATGATGATAAAGCAAAACAGGAATACGTAGACTTTTGCCGCATTCAATATGCTAACAATCATACGCAGATTAAAGTGATAAATGAGTTCGAAGAAAAATATCAGCCTTCATCATCTATTTGGTGGTATACACAGGCACGTTTTATCTATTCGACGTTGGATGAAGCCTTAAGAAATCAAGATACTGAAATTGTGATCAAGATGGGATTTTTTCTTCGAGATCTTCATTATCAAATTGAACAGTTATATTCGAAAATGAAGAATCATGATCGTCTGAATGTTTTTCGAGGACAAGGTGTACTGCTGACTGAATTTGATAAGATAAACAACAGTAGAGGTGGTCTTTTATCGTTCAATAATTTTTTATCAACCAGTACTGATGAAGACGTGGGATATATGTATGCGGACAGTGCACGAGGGAATCCTGATCTGATTGGAATCACATGTAGCATAGAAATCGATTCGTCTATTTCAACAGCACCGTTTGCTTCTATAGACGAATTTAGTAACTTCCAAGGAAACGAAAATGAAATTCTCTTTTCGGTGCATACGGTGTTTCGAATTGTTGATATGCAAGAAATTGAAGATCGATCATGGCAAGTCAATTTAACAGTAACCAGTGATGACGATCCACATTTGACCAATCTTACTAAATACATACGAGATGAAATCAATGGATCAACATCCATGCATCAAATGGGTCAGCTAATGATTAAAATGGGTAAATTTATTAAAGCTGGAAAAATCTACAAAATACTACTCGATCAAATTTCTGACAATGATCAACAAGAAATCGGTCACCTTTACCATCAGTTAGGCATTATAAAACAAGAGAATGGCGATCTATCAGATGCACTTGCATTCTTTTTAAAGACACTTGATATTATGCAGCAACATCTTTCACCAAATCACTCTGATCTAGCTATCGTCTACCATAACATCGGACTAGTGTGCAGAGGATTAGGAGAATGTCCAAAGGCACTTTCATACTATGAAAAGTCACTCGAAATCGAATTAAAATCTATTTCATCCGACGATCAAAAACTTGCTACTACTTATTGCAATATTGGTTTGTTGTGTAAGGATATGGGAAAATATTCGATGGCACTCTCATACTGTGAGAAAGCATGTGAAATTCAACAAAAATCTCTTCCGATCTATCATCCGTTCTTGTCTACTACATACAATAATATTGCTTTAGCTCATTATGGAATGGGGAACTATGTAGAAGCACTATCTTACTATGAAAAAAACACTTGAAATCCAAAACAAATCTCTTCCAACTGACCATCCATTACTAGCTACTACATATTGCAATATTGATTCGGTTCTTAATTCAATGGGAAACTATTCAGAAGCACTCTATTACCATAAAAAGACGCTTGAAATTGAGCAGGAATCTTTTCCACCTAATCATCCTAGTCTTGCTACTACCTACTGCAGCATCGATTTTTCGTATCATGAGATGGGACAGTACTCACTTGCAATCACAAACTATGAGAAGGCACTCGAGATACAAAGCAAATACATTGGACCTGTGTACGCTTCACAACGAAATTATTCCAATTCGCTGTCATCTTATGGAAAGGCACTTACAATACGACTTGCATCTCTTTCATCTAATCATTCTGACCTAGCTAGTACGTACAACAACACTGGATTGGTGTATACTGAAATTGGGCAGTTAAAAAATGCTCTCTCGAACTATCAAAAAGCATATGAAATCCAACAAAGATCTCTTTCGTGTGATCATCCATTGTTGGCTACAACATACAGTAACATCGGTTTAGTTCATCAAAAAATGAAGAAATATTCGAAAGCATTAGCATACTATAATAAGACACTTGAGATCCAACAAAAGTGTATTTTACACAATCATCCATCACTAGCTATTACCTTGGACAACATTGCTTTAATTCATAAATCGTTAGGAAATTATTCGACAGCACTCGACGGTTACCATCAGGCGCTTGATATTATGAAGAAATCTCTTCCAAACGATCATATATTGTTGGCTATGACGTACAACAACATTGCGTCATTACATGAGGTCATGAAAAGCTATTCGATTGCATTATTATACTACGACAAGACAATTGATATCGAACTGAAATCTTTTGCACCTGATCATCCATCATTAGCTATTACTTACAACAATATTAGTTCTGTGCACTATTCACTGGGAAAATATTCGAGTGCACTGTCATATTATGAACAGACACTTGAAATTCAACAGAAGTGTCATCCATTGAATTATCCATCGTTGAGTATCTTCCACTATAATATAGCGAAGGCACTAGAAAATCTTCAGCAGTATACAGAGGCTATCAAACATGCCACACAAGCGATGCAATATGCACGTCAAGCTTTCGATAATGAACATCGAGAAGTTAAAGAAATTCAGGAATATCTCGAATTCCTTCAAGAAAAACTTCAATGAATATATTATTGGTAAAATAAAGCTGGTTATCTATGCATAATGTCTCTCCCCTCTTAATTCAGTGCTATATTGAAGCGTTATTTTTCATGAAAAATTGCTTTACTGTATTGCATTTTAATATTTATTATATTTTGTGTATATTGGTTTGCGTTTGTTTTGCTTGGTATAGATACGTAAAAAATCTCATGCATAGTTATCATACTAAATCAAATTACTTAACATGCTAGACGTTTTGGATGTGGGTGTAACTGAAGAGAACAACAATGCCCACACTCTCAAATTTCTCATCTGTCAATATATTTCTCATCTGCCAATATATGTCAACACGTTTTTGAAAAAAGTATACAAGGAAACGTTTTCTCAATAACTAAGTATTTGAAAACTCTGACAGAATTTGTTTTTAGTAAATCTCTAGCAATGTTTATTCTTCTTTTGTCCAGCCTAAATATTTACTTTGATCACGTTATATTTTATATCATCTTTTTCCGAGTGCATCTTATGAAGATGCTACATTTGTAGAAGATAAAATTCTCTACTTATTCATGTGAAATACTTCCAGCTTAGAATGATATTTAATGGTACACAAGCTCATATAAACCGATTTATATTTAGCTAAAATATTGAAGATCGCAGTCAGGCTACTAAGTATTCGTTAATCTTTCCGATTTTCGATGATAACAGAAACTTATCTGAAAAACAAAGTCGAGAATTTTACAGGATGCAAAATGGTCTGTGTGCTGAGCATGTAATAAAATCTCTGGAGTATGCTTCTAATTTCCAAAAAACAAGATGAGAGTGCAACAATTTGGGTACGTAAGTGAATAGATTTGAGTAGATGAGAATGGAACTCGGATCTTTGTGACTACACATCCACATCCTCAACCGAGATTAGCGCTACTATGATTGAGAATAGATGCGATCGGATGGGTATTGCTCAAACTCCTGAATGCATACGTCTTTTCAATGTATGCTGATACTTAATGCATCAACTTCTTCCAGTTGAATCTTGTATCAGTTTAACAAAATTTCTTTTATTTATTATTTCTTATGTTATTTCGTTCTTTGTGCATCTCTGTCAGATAATTGTAATAACGAAAGCTTTCAATAGACAAATGGATGTGGGTATAGATGGTGTAGATATGGTGATAATAAAGCTTCCTCTCATACCCCACACCATTGGTTTTATCGAAATGATGCTTATTATTGGACAAGTTCAATTGACTACTAGTAAATATAACATAAATACATTATTAGATTCAAATGAATGGAAAAGATTAATAGATAATTATTATATATGGAACAAGTAACCTTGGAAATATTGGGATATGTTGTACAAAATGAAGCGTGGGTGCGGAAAATAACCGAAATTTAAGAGGCATTTCCCCAAAGAATCGAGTTTCACGTTCGATCAATGTGATTGGCTACATTTGGTTTTTCAGTATTGATATTCATCGGCTGCAAAACTGCTGTAATAACTTTTTGCAATACAGAGATGGATAAAATAGAAAAAACTCTAAAACTAGATATATTTTTAATTTCAAACATTATGAAACTGTTTGCCTAATCAATGTTTCAGCAACATTTCAATTTTGATGGTGTGGGTGTTTTAGTCAAGATATATTGCATAGGTATAAACCTATACACCCACGCCCTTTTTACTCTATTCCTTTCTGTTTTTCTTATTCTTCATCATGTAATGCATCTCGGCTCTAGTCGCAAACATAATCAAAAAGCTACGTTCGTCTATTACCTTATATTTCCAAATACCTCCGAATGTGACAAGAAACCAAACAGATTCAAAGACAAATCATCTAAAAAATTCGAGCAAGAGATATATTTGGCATCGAATCGAGTCTGTAAAGTCGTTGTTTTTAAATATTCATCTCAATGCAACTTTTCTAAAATGATTATTTCGTCTATCTTCAGTGTCTAACAGTAAGATAAATATACAAAAGCATGTGGTTAGTCATTGGTTGGTATTGTTGTGAAATATTAGACTTTATTTGAGGAGGAAAGTATAAAAATAACAATCATAGAAGGAACGAGATAACGACAGAAAAAAGAGCCTTTCGTATCCTACTTCTATTTGCCTTGTTTTTTTCTCTGTTCTTCACGTGGTACGTTGGCCAGTAGTTACAAATACTGCTATCTACTACCATTCGTTGTCTCTTTTTTCATCGGTAGTTGGTGTTATGTTGTGTTTAGCATTGATCGTTAAGATTTAATGATAAATACACCATAGAAAGTAGTAAAATCATCTGCTTAAGGCCACCCCCCCCCCAAAAAAAAGGTCACTTTGCGTCAGAATTAAGATAAAAGCACGAAAAGATAGCCCGTAATCTGATCTCTCATAAACAACAACAATTTTTACTAGGCACTTCGTTTTTTCCAAACGTTTTTGAAGATTTTCGTCTTCTCCTATCCGAAAAATAAGCTGTTTTTGAAAAAAAGACAACAATCTTTTTCGTTTTCTAGGTTTTCAATCGTATTTCGAAGGATTCTCGAAGGAGTTTCAGTGTAGTCAACAACTTTTTTCTGTTTGAAGGGATGTGGGTGTAAAAGAAGACAACATCTACATCCAGACCCATAGCCTTCGTCAGCAGAATTTCGTGTTACCCTTATCTACAGAAATAGTGAAAAAGTCAAAGTTAACAGTTGACTAATCAAGTCGACTTTTAGAAGATACTCAAATTGTTTTAGTCCTAGATTTATTTATGGAATACTCTGTGCATCACTTGTAAACTATCCAACAACTCTGCAAATCTTTCTATTTACTGTATTTTTTAGAAAATCGAATAAAATGCAGAGAATCATTTCTGGAGGTGAAAAATTTCATCGTCGAAAAACGGATTCTGATCATGCAAATTATCTACGAGTTATTGGGGCCGGATTACCACGAACAGGTACTTCATCACTCAAAGCTGCTCTAGAACAACTCGGTTTTGGTCCTTGCCATCATATGGTCGAATTAGTTGACAAACCCGAACGAAGTATACTATTCTCACGAGCATTGGATGGGCATGAAATCGATTTTCATGAACTAATGAAAGGCTACGGATCGACAGTAGATGCTCCGACACAAATGTTTTACAAGGAAATTCATAAAGCTTATCCGAAAGCAAAAATAATACTCACTGTACGCGATAGCGGTGAAAAATGGTTCGAAAGTGTGACTAATTCGATTGGACCGACCGCTACTGATATATTCTATTACATAGCCATTTATCCTATTCGATTTTTGCGCTTACAATGTATTGTCAACAAAAAGATTTTTAAAAAATGGACGACTGAATTTGGTGAAATCGGACCACAAACTCATGACTTATATAATGCTCGAGTGATCAACGAAAATAAAAAGGACGAATTACTCGTATTCAATGTTAAAGAAGGATGGCATCCCCTATGCAAGTTTCTAGGTGTGCCGATTCCAACAGATATTCCGTTTCCAAATGTAAACGATACCAAATATATTCAACGTGCATTTTTCAGAGCCAAAGTATTGGGATGGACTGCTTGGGCATGTATTGTTGCAGTTGGAGCCATTATTATCTATTTCTTTATTGAACTGATGCGTTTTTGGTAGTTCGAACATTGCTACTCTCTCACGATCTATACAACACCGGCCATTTTCTCTAAGTTCACTGCTGTGAATTAGACAATTAAGCATAGCCGAACTCTTGTTTAACTTGTTCTATAAAGAATCTTCAAGTCCGAGAATATAACTTGTCAAGGAAACCAGTAGTTTTACAGATCATGCTAATGATCTGACACAATTACTTCATTTGAACATTGAATCAACAATAATATCTTTCATGAATTGGAAAGTTTATGATGAGAGTTGAATATTTTTCATGTGCAATGTTCTTTCATTACACTTTAGGAGCGAGGCTACGTCTGGTAGAAAGGAGGAGTGCAGACAGTGTTGTCAATATGAATCTGAGTAATTTCTAGAACTTCTTATACTTTCAATGAAGTTAAAGCTCTTCTACAGGGGACATCGCCAATGCCCACTACAAAGTTAGTAGGATTCTCGGAGAATTAATCAACAAAATTGACAAATAAGACGTTGACTAATATCATCAATATTTTTCATAAAAAAAACCAGTTTTAGATGAAAGAAAAAAATCTTGTGATATTCTAGAACTCTGATTATATGGCACCAATTATTACGATGAACTATTTTTTTTTGATTGATGAGTTTTGAAGATTTGAAGCTGTTATGTGATCATTAACTTCAATAGTTCCATCACCATTACTATTGTGCAACGCGGTCTTGGAAATTTGTATACGACAAAACCGTACAGTTGTTGAGTTAGATTTGATAAAGAGCATGATCGAATTGGAAATTATCTTCGTCATCATCCTACAAAATGATTTCTAATAGTACTAATTGAAAAGCAGGTGATTCAAGAATTTCTTCACAACTATTATTAGAAACAGATACACGAAAACTGTTCTTCGACATATTGGTATAGATGAATAACAATGTCCAAAGTAAACTGTTCACATGATCTATGGGAATAAATCCATGGAATTTTTTTTCAAAGTGCTATAGTTGATAAGACCCATCCAGAATAAGATAGTCGAGCTGTGATGATAGTCTGTACTGGGAAACAATATGTTGGAACATTCCATGATAGAAAACAAGTATAGGGCAGAAGGCACAGAATGAATATCAATGTCTGACATGATTGAAAATGATGGTCTTTATTGCAATTAATGTTCTAGATAAGAACCTTAAAACATATCAAACCCATTTGATATGAGAGAAAATCTTAAGTTCACAACGCGTTTCTCCATCGTCAGATTCAAACACCAATACCACATTACAAGAAAGATCAGATCAACTGGGTCATATAATTCTAAGCTTACTTGGTTAGAAATTTCAGATAAAAACTAAGCTATTTCTTGCACAATATTCGATACTATTGATGGCTTAAGGTCAGAAGACTTGTATGTCAATCTTTGAGTCCTCATATAACATGTTAATAATTTATAAA